GATGATCGTTATACGCGTCATACTTGTATTGGCATTAAAATAAATGAGATAACTTAATGTCGATTTAATTGCCGAAATTAATTTCGAAATCGCGTTTTCGAAAATATCGATATATTCTCACGGTGAGTTTCCACTGCCGTGCGTGACGAGGAACTGCTTTTATCGCGCGCGCTTCTTGCAATATCATTTGTAATAATTTTCCTCCCGCCGCTATTCGCGCCCGATCAGCGAGGACTCATTCATCCTATCGGCCTATACGTACTTCTACCGTCCAACACCGCTCATGTCCAACATACGCGAATGCATGGCACGTAAAGAAATCACGCGAAGATAACTCCTACACGGAGATCGTATGTTGTGATATACGCCCGGGTGCCGAAGTATTACTCACCCCGGAGACGGGCGAGCGTGTGTGTGTGTATATGCAGCATCTCGCACGAAAGCAATGAATACGAGATGCGGGATCAATTCAAACGACGGATTAAGTGCACTCGAGATCGAGGCTCGTAAGAAGGAAGAGAAGGATTCGATTATCGACCGGGCTCTCTCTAAACGATCGAACCTGATCCCAAGAGAGGATTTCATCTAACATTCGAATTTTCACGCTTTGTCATAAAAGGACCATTGAGAGAGCTCGTATTTCGATAAAGTGGAAAACTGTAAATTCCAGTTAAACTATTCTTACGTAAAGACCAAGATATTTTCGAGCGCAATACAATTCCCAACATATACGAACGCGATTATCTCTTCGACGAGCGGCTCGTTCTATTTTCCACGCGATGCTACGCGATTATATTCTCTCCCTGTGCACCTTGCATCCGGCGAATGTGTTTCCGACATACGGCAGCCGCATACCCGATGATACGCTCTTTTCTCTCCTCGCACTTCGCAGTCATCTCCGCTTCTGTCGCCGGCCTTTCTTTCGCGCGATCACCGTGAGTCGTCTAACCGCATCAGCTCCACATCTCACGTACGCGATACGTAATTTCCCGGTCGGCGAAACCGCGCGAGGAAAATCATAGAAAATTGCAGGAGAATTTCTTTCGCTTCTGCGGTGTATCGTAGAATATTTAGTCATAAAATTTTTCTTCGTCTTTTTAGCACCTCGATTATTGATACACACTTGGACAGAAATGCATCTGCAAATCGAGAGACGGACTATATCGCGCGTTTATATCGTCTCCGTTTCTGCGGAGCGTCGACTCTCTGTGTCATTACGCCACAGTTTATGTAATTCTATGAAATCTTCACGGTTCGCGTACGCGGGATCGCTCATTTCGCCGGACTCGAAATAATACAAATTTAACGTCGCATTCTGTTCGGCTGCGTATAAACGTCACTAGTAATTTTCTGTCCGTATAGACGGCGGTAATCTGCATGCCTTTCAACGCCGGCGAGAATGCACATGTCTGAGCCGGATGCGTAGGTTACGCGTCCCTGACCTAGGACGTCTCGAATTTCTAGAGCTAAAAGAATCGTCGGTAAATGTCTATCTAAAAAATATTTAAATACTTTTGTCAAAAACTAACACCTCGATAATTTCACAGATAAAAATAATTTCAATTTATAGATTAAAGTTTTTTCGCGGAATCAAAAAATCAGAAACGGATTCAAAATTTACGCAACGGCGCGCTTTAATCCGCAACGGTGAAATGGACATTTGAATCGTGCACAAAATTGGAATTAAATCCAGCCTTCCGGTGCAATTAACGTTCGCGATATTCGCGTTCATCGATATTCAGAAATACAGTTGACGCGTAATGTGCGGACAAGTTGGAACAGCACGAACAAACGACCGCGAACATCCGCGAATAAACCACCGTCCTATTTACATCCCGGATGAAACTATCGGGCGAGGAACGTGCCGACGTGCGCTCTCTGAAAATCGCCCGATAAGAAAGAGGAAAACAACGGGCGTGCGAGCGAAGCGCTTCTCCATCGGAGATATGGTGTTTAAAATCAAACGGAAATCCAGTTAAACCGGCATACCCCCGTACACTCCACTAATAATAGAGCAGATACTGGAAGGATAGAAATACGACTTCCTCTCTTCGACGTGCCGCGCGTACCCCGCGTCCTAAAAATAACGAGCGAACGGACGGACATTCGACACACCGCTTATCGGCGAGGGGGAAAAGGGGCAAAGGCGGGGCGTCTATCCAATTCAAACAGTATCCTTGCGCCAGCACGTGCTTCCACTTATCCCCGGCGGTAAGTCAGCTGAAACTTATATGTCTGTGCTTATAATACTGTGGGTCGCGACCCGCGAAAGCGTGTGAACTTGTAATCCGACTCGTCATCGAAGCGTGGCTGCTGATTGGACTTTGCGATCAAAACCGGAGTCCGGATAAACGAAAGATTAAGTGTCTGGTAGATCGAAACCGTCAGATTTCGTTTATACCGAATATTTATGTAGCATATTTAACGCTGAGCAGCGTTGCGAAATCACGAATTATAAAAAGATTATACCATACGCAGAGTATGTTTCAAAACTTGCAGATGTCAACTTTAATGATAGATTTTTCTGATAAATTTGAAATTTATTCTTTTCAGCGAAACTGTGACCAGGATCATTTATTATTTGTGACATTTTTTCAATTTTTCAACATCGATATTAATTAAAAAAATGTGGTTCAATTATTTATCCATGTTTCTAAAGGTTATTTAACAAAAAGTCCTTCTTCAATGCTTTATTAATTATCAATATCTTGACATTTTTGCTGAAAAAACGATTCTAAATTAATCAGAGAATTATTCATTAAAAAAACATTCGCGAGTTTTGCCACACCCTTGTATAATCTCTCGAAATTTACATAATAAATTTTGTTATTAAATTATCTTCATTCTCGCCACAGGCATGTTGTGTAAATTACACGATGTTTAGCGTGCATTTTTCCTCTCTAGCTCTCCGCAATGCAAGCTTGTAGCTTCACCACATATTTGCTCGGATTCGATCGAGCAAACAGAGAAACGTGGTTCTTCGACCGAGCGAGCGCTACGGGTCAAAGGGTCGATAGCGGCTGCGGACGATCCGCATTATGACTCTATTCATAGGAGATATCCACCGCTATCGATTATCATACGCACTGAAATATACGGAAGTGGCTATATAATGAGGCCGAGCGGTGCATATGAATAATAGTATCGCGCATTTCAGCATTCATATTGCTATTTTGCGCCATCGAGAGCTCAATTAAAACAGACACATAACGTAATTACACTTCGTACAGTAATATCGCACGGCAATCTGGCTCACAGCAGTATGATTTTAATACAGCGTGATTTAATTCCGATTTAATTCTATTTTCACTGCATGACGTATATTACGTTCGAAACGCTGCCGATCGTTCGCCACGACTACGCGATTGTGTAAGATCGTATCGGGAATATAAACGCGCACCGTCCCTACATGCGTCTATTCGCAATATATAATATGGGATGTAAATTCTTATCCGACGACCGCTGATCAATGTAACAGCACTACCTTTCACGCGACATAACAGCTGGATCAAATCCTTTGTTTATCGTGCGATATCGCAATCTTCGATGCGACTTTGCAAACTCCTGCTTTTGATTTTTGTCGATTGAAAGTTTAACCAATGCATTGTGTGATTAAGATAATATAAAATAAAAAAATTTAATACACCCGACTTTTATTAACGTTTTGCTAAGAGGCTCGAAATTTAAAAAAACCTGTGAGCTAAGATAAGTTTATACGACATCTGGTATAATAAATTGCATACGTTGATACTATGAAAGCCGTGTAATCTGCTTTGGAATCAAAAAAAGTAATTTACGTAAGATCGATAAGGCGTTACTTTATGAACTCACGGCTTGATATTAATCGAGGTTTTCTGCCGACCAGTCGTTCGTCTTTCTCTTGGTAACTGCGGCATGTTCCACGAAGCGGGAGTCTGTCGTCGTCTGTATCGAATTGCGTGCTACCGATCGCGCAAACCGTAAAGCGGAATCCCAACAGAGAGGCGTTAGGATCAACTGTTTCGATGTGGCAAACGGCGCGGAACGGGTTAAAGGCGAGTTAATGGCGAATAGTCGGTGGAGAAATATCGACGGCCAACCGGCCGGTTGACTGGACACTCGAGGATAGCCGATCCTCTCTCCGAGATTTTTCCGACGAGAATCTTTTTGCCGCCGACCGTCTATTTTCGCGATCGCGCAGTCGTGGCGCACGCCGGGGAAAGTTACTCGCCGCGGAATAAACATCGCAGATAACGATTGCGATAAAACCCAATGAGCCGATCAATGCCCTATCTGCGTGAATTGCTGTGTTGCTTACTCGATTTCTTTCAAGTTTATCAGTTTCCTTCATAATATTTTGCGACAAACTTCATCTTTAAAGACGATTTTTTCTTAGCAAAAATGAATAATTTTCGTTACTTTACAAGTTTTAACGTTTAACATCTTAATAATAATCTTAAATGGAAAAAGTAAGATTTTGTTATTCATTCGTGATTACTTCGTAAAAAGTAACTTTCAATTATTTATAATTCCAAATCTTTCTGTAGCTCAACATCCTTAAAAAAAAGTTGATTCTAAATTCGCGAAAAATTAATAAATGAAGTTTGTCGGATATGTTACGGAATCATATATATTTAGCATCAGATTGATAAATAACATTTTGTCTTAATAATACGTCGCGCCAGTAAAAGGTACGTTCAACAAGATATAGATTCAGTAATTTTTCATCGAGTGACAATTAGAATTGATTGCTATTTGAGAATGTATGTACGAAAAGTGCATATACGAGACTATTCAAAGAGACATCTCGTACGCTCGTATATATACAAGGATCGGCCAAGGCAGGGACGGCGACCCTCGTCCAGCGCGATCCTTTGTCAAAGTCCCTTAATCATAGCCTCATTTCTCAAGCGGAATCTCCCGCGGATCTCCGAGCGTGGAGTACGCGGCGTGACGAACGACTCAATTATTGTCCAGTCCGCATCCCTCCGGGGCGGGAGGGAAGGGGAAACGTCACTTACCTCTTCCACGAGGGATCTCTGCATATTGGTCCAGCACAGTTTGCACGGACACACGTCCTTGCTGGTCTCCTTCGGGTTCTCATTCCGCTCGCGGTCCCGCGCATTACCGGTGGTCTGCGGCGGTGGCGGCGGCACCGGCGGCGGCAGCGGACTCGTGGCCACTTCGAGGCTGTCCGAGCTTGAGTTGTGGCGTCGCGGCGGCGTGATGTTGCTGCTGACATTTGCCTGCTGACAGGTCGCCTGTCTGACCTCGCATGACCGGCCGTGTTCGTTGCCGCACTTGACGGCGTGCGACGGCGACATGTACAGATTCAGCATGCACTTGTTGCTCGGCTGCTGTGGCTGCGGCCGCAGGAAGTCGTCCAGCAGGTAAAAGCTCTGCGCACGGCTCGATCTGGCAGTGGAGGTCGCGCCACGGGTCTCCACGGCGCTCTGTTCCGCGGCTCTGCAGAAGTCTCGATTGCTTCTGCACAGTTCGGAGTCGTCCAGATGATGTCGACCGCGTGGCGCGACATGTCGCTCGTCGAGATCTCGATCAGCTGCCGGTTCGATGTCTTGATATAATCTGCGGCTGACCTTCGATCGGCCGGAAACCTGGCCGAATTCTCCGTTTTCTCGATAGACATCTCTACTGATTCGGGAGACTCGCGCCGAGTACGACGTCGGCTGCTGATAGCGTGCCTTACAACTCGAACCGCGCGATTCCTCGCGGAAATGATCGCCTTCGATCATGGATACGCTCATGTTGTGCGACAGGGAGTTCTGGCTGGTGTGGGAGCTATTGCCGGTGCCGGGAGTCCTTAAAAGTGCGCCGAGAGACCGCCACTTCCGATCCTGTTGGTTCGTGGACGTGGACGAAACCGAGGACCTGTTCCACTTCCTCTCGTTTGACGGTGATGTCAGCAGACTGTTACCCACGGACCATTTCCGTTCATTCGTGGGCGACGTCATCGAGGACGACCACTTTCTCTCGTTCGACGGGGACGCCATCGCCGTACTCGACCACTTCCGTTCTGATGACGGCGCGCTGATGGCCGTCGTACCGCCGGTGGCGTTCAGCTGCTCCTCTCGCTGACGGGCCTTCCACCAGGATGACGTTGAAGTGAAGAGGATCAACGCGCCCCGCAGGGGGTTCTGATTCTTCGCCGCGCCCTTCGGCGAGAGGTCACGATCCTTGACTTTCAGCGAGCAGTCCCTGAAATTGGAGTCGCACTCCCGGTCGCTGAACGCTGCGGCGTCTCGTTGCTCCCGCAGGGCGTTCTTCGCGGCCGCCACCTCCTCTTCGTGATACAATGTCGCATTCGTGCTGCGCAACCGCGGCCGGATCCTCACGAAGCCATAATCGTTGCCGTCCTGTAGGACGGAATCAAGTGGCTCGCGGGACTGTTGCTGCTGCTGCTGCTGCTGATGATGATGCTGCAGCAGGGAGCAATGCGCGGCCGCCGCCGCCGCCGCTGTCACCGCCTGGCCGCTGGACGTATACTGATGATGACTGTTGCTCAGCTGCAGACTCGGCTGTTGTAGCAGCGTCGAAGTCCTCGCACGATGACCCTCGCCGGCGGTGCCGCGTTGCAAGCACGAGAAACTCGCCGAGTGCCGTAAGCTCGAGGGCGTGTTGCCCGGCTGACTCACGCCCAACATGTCGCCACCTTTTATTTTCAGTCTTTGATCTCGAATGAGAAACAAATGTGTATATGTATATATATATTAATGTACGTGTGTATACGTAACGAAGACAGGGCTGACACGAGGGGGGCAGGTGGAGAGGCAGTTAGCGAGGGCTAAGATGGACGAAGGAACGGTTGAGCGGAGAACGAAGCAACGATCTAGCTCGTCATTACTCCTGGCAGTGTTTTTTATCAGTCTCAACGTCTCGCGATAACATCCGGCTTGTTTCCCCGCGAGGAAGTGGAGAGAATATTTTTCTCTTTCTTTCTCTTTCTTTCTCTTTCTCTCTCTCTTTCTCTCTCTCTTTCTCTCTTTACTTCTCTTTTTCTTCTCAAGTTGACCTGCTCTTCCCTCGGTCGATTCCTCTTCCCTGTACCGCGCGCATCGTCGTCTTCAAAACTCGTGTGATTCTCGCTCGCTCTCAATCGAAAAATCACTCTGTCACAGGCTACATCCTCGTCTGCCACCGCTCTCTTGTTACCGTACGCGACGCCTACAGGCCGTACAAGATCTGCAACAGAAAGTAGGAACAGGGTAGGGAGCAGCAACTAAAAAAGAAAAATGGCTGCGATGAAATGAAGTGTCCGTTTCGCGCATCCGTGAAAAATTGAAGTTAAATGGGGTGGGCGGCGATGCGGAGGGGGGGGGGGGGGCTGGTAATCTCAGCGTGACTTGAGTGGGTGAGAGTGACGGGTGAGATGATTTCCGAGGTTATGTGTCGAAAACGGCGATCGTAGTCGCCGTGAAGTCGACTTCGCGGCGGCGATCGGTGAAGGATGAAGGCCGTTCTGCGGCCCCAACCTGCCCGAGGCAAGGTATCGGGATGTCTACCGAAGCGTTTTCTATGAAAGTTCGCCGTGTTTCTACGACAATGCACAAGCGGCGAGATGGAACGCGCGTTCGCCGAGTTCTTTTCCCGAGAATACGAACCGGACTCTAAAGCAGTTCTGCGCTCGACGCGTGACTCGATGCGTCGTTACGCCGAAGAAAATAAATTTAATGTCGATGCGAGACATCGGAGTCGCATGAGATTTCCAAGGTAAAACGTCGAGCTTTTCCACGGAGAAACATGTAAAACAGGTGCGATCAAACAGGTGCGAAATACTCGCTTTAATCTCAGAATTATCTCGAAATTTACGTGCTATTAAATGTTCGTGCTATTAATATGTTCGGCGAGAGATCCCGTTGAATATATATATATAATTGTGATCGGACGTGTTACAAATAAATTCGTAAATTTCCATGAAAATATGATATGAAATTCGATGTAAATAAGGGTGAAGGTAGTGTTAAAACGTATCGCTCAAATGTAAATATGATGCTTGAGCGCTGCTATGTATTTGATTATGCAGTTTGCGCGAAGCCGAATTACACCGCCGACTGAAAATTACAGCACGGCGGAACAAGCGTAACAATAACAGAATTTTCACGGAAGCGTCAGTGGATACCGCGCTAACAAAATGCGAAAGTGATAAATGAAGCGCGTCGATGAGTCAATATTGACGCGATAAATGGAAGCCGATAAATGCGTCGGCATGCTCCTCGATGCAGAATAAATGCAACCGATTAAAAAGAAGCTCTGGGGAAAAGGAAAGCCAAGAATTGCAGTGTTATCTCGTGGACGGAGGCGAAGGAAAAAGAACTAGGCTTATCTCAAAATTAAGGGCACATTACGTATCTTCTTTCTTAAGTCTGCGATATTGACGTAATTATTTCCTAATTAACGCAGTCTGGACCGTCATTAGCGCGATTAACATTCGTAAGGAACATCCGGCGACTGGCGAATAAGATCCAGCGTATTTGACGGCGCAGCAAATGGCGTTGACACTAAAACCGCAAACGTGCCGTTTTTGTCTCATCTTGAAAATTAGATCTTTGTTACACTTTCAAGTTTGACTCTAAAAAGGCTATTTCTGAATTCTTATCGATGCTTTGATAAATATCCACACACTTTAATTTTGTTAAATATAATTTAAATTTTAAAAAATTATATAAGACAAAAACGTCCCATTTCGCGATTCTAAAGTGTGCCAGAACAATTTTAGTATTTGAAGATCTGTCAGAAAGTTAGAGAAGAGGTACATACAGCGCGAAACTTTCGCATTTCAAATCCAATGGCTCTTTCAACAAAGTTTCTAGAGACAAATGCTAAGAACACGCGGAAGGGCCGCATCATCGTGGCACTTAGGTCAATCTCGAGTGCTAATTAAGACTCTCTCAGTCGCACACCAGGCAACATGTCAGGCTTTGTCGATACATGCAGCATTGTACCGTCGCACAAGAAAACGTTTTAAGAAAACGTTCGTATTAGTTTTGAGCAATTCCGCAATTATCCGTGTCGCAAGATATCCGGTGACTCAGCGACACCCTATAGAAGCGCGATGGAGTGCAATTAACGGCGTCCTCGCGAAGCGGTTGAATCATACAATTTATGACATAAACAAAAAGATATGTTTCTCAAATGTTGTGGAGAAAGTCGACCGTATAAACGCGCCAGATACCATTAATGCGCAGAATTGTGTGCGATGTGATCTGAACGGAATTCGCTCGCTAAGCTCCACACGAAACGAGTTACACCGCCGCCCGGGATTTCTCTGACTTTATAGCAACGGCACGCGCGTCTATATCTAGGTACGCAAAACGGTGAAAGGTTTTTCAAGGCGGGAAAGCGAGTGACACCCACACGTCGACAGCGATGCGAAAAGGCAAGGCCGTTCGCGCGGATAAAAGTTCGCGGCGCGCTCGCGCGCGCATGTTCCTTCTTGCGAAATCTATCGGTACCGAGCCGCCGGACGCCTGTCGCAACAATAATGAGGCGTAATGGGATAGCCGCGAATCGCGCGCAAGAGAACTCGTATCCGTTGCGCGCCAATTAGATATCGGATATTTACCGGTCGATCGCTTTTCCGCGCGCGATTACATATCGCGTCGGAGCTGATCGCTCGCGCCGCTCGCTCTTTCCACCGGCATCATTCGCCTCGACGCAATCTCTTTGTCCTTGAGATCGACATTTCTCGGGCAGCTCACCAGCGGGAATTTCTTCGGGAATACGTAACGCAATTTATTTCAACGCGCGGCGCATGTACGCAATCACCACGTAATAAACTTTCATCTTTATCCACGTGCGCCTCGATAAAAAAGATTTCCTCGAGGATCTGATTCATAATATTTATACACTATTACACTCCTGGATGTCCAAACGTGTATATTTAATTACGACACTCCGAGTAAGCGTGCGTTTTAAGCCAGCATTTTACGGCCAACGCTCCTTCGCGGATGCAAAACGGGCGATTCGCGCTCTCGTTGCGAGCGCACGCATGTTCCTCGCGGAACACGAGAGCGCCAGTCAATTAGCTCGACGATTTGACCGTGTCGTTTTTAAGCGAGCGATACGCATTATCCCAGAAAATCGCGGGCAGTGTAATATTCAGGGCATAAAGTCATTGCGCGCGAGATGAGTCCAATTAGAATAAACGCAACGACGAGGATACACGTGTACATATATTTGCATAAACGCAATCTCTTTTATATCTGGAATACTGGAAGCAAATTATAATTTAACAAAGTAACCTCTTCAAAAATTCACGAAACTCGATTGTTTCGATATTTAATATTAAAATTGTCCGCAAAGTTTTCACTGAAGAAAATTTAATATCAACTCCGCTGAAGAATCTGCAATTCAAATTTCATTCTAATGATAATTAAACATCTCGTGCATGCGTATCGACCGATCGCCGTATAAACAAGCACTCGCGGAACTCTCACCTGGCATCGTTCGCGCGCGCGAATCGACGCCTGGCGACTTCTCGCGCGCAACACCGCAAAAGAGACGTAATCCGCCGCACGAGCCGCATTTGCGCTCTGGATACCGCGAGTCAACCTGGTTAACGTAATTGGCCGGAATCTTCGGCCGTGACTAATTGCGGGCCCGGTATATAATAAGCACGCTCGGGCGACGCCGCGCCGCGGCTTGCCCAAGATTCGTTGCGAAAGATACATGAAAGCTCTTCCTCCTCGCGCGCATCCGTCCGGCACGCCGATTAATTTTGAAAGGCGGCGAGTTGCGCGATCGCGACAAAGGAAAAAAAATGCACGCGGCTTCGCTAGAAATCCATGTCGGTTTGTCCAATACCGCTTTCACGGACGAATCGCAGACGCGTGGAGATTAAAAGAAAAATCTAACGCCGTGCGTAAGACATTCGATTAGATGGAGAAATATAAAGTCTATAATGAAGGGAGATTAAACAAGTTATTTATCTCAATCGGAGCTCAATCGTTAACAATCAATTCGATCTACCCATAGAACGTGCTATCCTCGCAACGGAGAAAGGATTAATGTTGCAAGTGGCTAGTCACGATGCAACAACGCGCTATTAAAATGTATGCTCACTCTGTTATTTCTTTTTTAGTGCGCAATTAAGACGGGATTATTTAGCGATGAGTCAGTGGTTTTTAGTCATTGGACGGGGAAATTTGGCGGACGCATAGCGCGCTCCGATGTAAATCTGGTTCAATCCGGGGATCTCTGACTTACAGCAAATTTGACATCGTCGACGTGTCCGTGCTTGGATTGTGGCCGCTCCAGGATTGCGCGGTCGGACAATTTGTAGCGTGATTTATTGGCCGGTGGAGATTTCCGCGTCATAGTGAGCTGTAATCGCAAGATTCACGCGTGGACGTGGATAAAATTGCGTTCCACGCGCTGTTATGACACGACGATTCCGCGCGCGAGAATTGTTTCTCTCCGCGTCGATGCGTACGGTGATACGCCTGATTCAATACCAATCGTTGCATAATTTCGAATTCCGTCATACTTTTGTAATTTCTGCAGTAATTGTGCGAGTTTCTCGCTATTTGTCAACGAGGCATATTCCGCCGTAATTTTCTAGGCTTTCGTGAGATCGTATATTATTAATAACTAAAGAGATTTCGTCAGAGGGAAAGAAATAGCCGCGATCTTAACTTGTGACTACAGTCTGAAGCGTTACTTCTCGCTATCCCTAATGAATCTCCTCCACTGATTAATTAGAAACATAAAAACGTCACGGTCCTTAGCTCGATGCAAATTAAGACCGACGTAAAGACGCTCCGTATACACACATATATATATATCTCTCGAATATCTCCCAAGCGGTGGATACACGCGAGGCTCTCGTTTATAGCGGCGATATTGGAAAGGAACAGCCACTTCGGCAAACGTCGCGCGATCGTTAAGGAATACGTATTCGCCGAGACACTGACAGGCATATAAAATACAGCCAATAAATGTTCGCCCGAATATGGGCTCCCAATAAGCAGAAGCGCGTCGAAGCGAAGCTCTAAGGGCACGAATGAGCGGTAGATCGAGAAAGAGAGAGGAGAAGAAGGTCGAATATCATATCGCGATGAGGAAGCGTACTTCGACCTCCGAGCCACGCGACCTACCCGAGTTGATCGTTCGCTTTATTCGTCACGTTTTCTTTGGTATCCTTTGGCATTAATTTATTGTCTTTCATTGCCCGACCTGCCGCG